CTCCCAACGTCTTTCACTCTTTCTTTAACCTCGTGAGCTTCCTCATCCGCCTCTCCTTTGATTATCTTGGCCGTCTCCATTACATTTTCTCCGCCTCTTTTCGCTCCTCCTGTCACTTCATGAGCTTTTTCCTTCACTTTGCTCGCAGCATCTTTTACTCTTTCTTTAGCTTCATGAGCTTCCTCATCCGCCTTATCGACCACCTCACGCGCTTTCTTCGAAACCGCCTCTCTGGTTCTTCCAATTGCGCTATCAATCTTATGCTTACACTTGTCAAATGCATCACACACAAGCTCTTTAGCACTCCCCATATGGCTATGGTGCATGTCTTCTCGTTCAAATTTCTCCTTTGTGCCCTCCATTAATTTATCAGAAAATTTCTGACCCTTTTGGTCTTGTGTAGAGATTGAAACTTTGGTGTTTCCACCATCTTTATCGAACTCAACCACCACCACTCTGTGCTCTTCTTTCTCTACAGTAGTATCATCTTTGTGCCCTCTTTCTGGGATGGGAGAAAACACACCTGCTGTTACAAGTGTGGTCATTACAAAACATAGAGCCAAAACGTTTATCATTCTGTAATACGCTCTATTTTTTCTTACGTATTTTGAACTGAAAATGTAGAAAGTGACAAAGGAAGAGATCCTAAATTTAGAACGAAAAACTGGGAAGCGGTTTGAGTAGATTTCTCAACTTCAAATGCTCCCACGTAGCTTTTAACATGCGACACGTGCCTTGCTGCGTGTTCTTGTGGAAATGATGTGTCAATTTTTTTTTTTAATAATTCTATTCGCCAGGAAAACTACCACTGATGGTCTTACGTCTACATTAATACGCCAAATAACAAAACTACCCATATAATTATCGATAGTTTTCGGTGTGAATAACATTCCTCTATTTGTTTTAGCCAAACATTCTAAGAAGAATTAATCTCCTTATACACTAGTATTGTACATAAAGCATTATATGGAGACAGGTGATGGCTGAGACAATTATTTTTTGTGCAAGATCCAATGAATGCTTCGCCTTTCTCCCTATAATCTTTTCTATATGTTATCCCTGTACAAGCTTGAACAATCAGATTATTTTAGAAAAACTAATGGGGCAAACGTGCGTTGCATGTTAATTGGATAATGTTAAAAATAAGTGTGTAACAAAATAAAGAATAAGCCTCGACATACAAATTATATTTACAAACTCGACATACAAATAGAAACCAATTT